CAAGTTTTATAACCACGCGAAATGACGATAGTGGGATACCTGACGCGACCTTATTGGTTTAAATTCCACTCAAGGGCTACCTCTTCCACGCCACCCCTGGGGGCGCCAATGTCTCCTAGAGCCATCAGCAGTAGCTTCCATTGATGATTGACTTCAACTGCAATGATTTGGGGATGTAAAATCTAGTGAGACGCCCAGGGACATATAACTGAAGTGCCCAGACAGTTGAATCTTGCTAAGTCGACCTCACCACGTCAAATACCTCCCCAAGTTGAAATTTTTTCAAGTCCCTGTCTGGATTCCTGTAAAAGCAATATCTTAAAAACCTCCTCAACTTAGTCTTTTTCTCTCAAACCTCCTGAAGTTGAATTTTCTGCAGCCTTTTGGCTATTACTTTCTAGATACATGAAAGAGAAAAGCAAAAAAAAATTAACTTGATGCATTTTGAAAGGAGGTATTTGTGAATATTCAATGAACATGCCACAAATCATGTGAACACAATTTTAGAGCACTCTTCTAAGTTCTGAATATCCAATAAGATTTCTAGTGATAACATTACATCATGATTTTACACTGCCAAATCATTGCAGTTGAAGTCGCTCAATGATGGCTCTGGAAGAGATTGGCGCTCCCAGGAGTGTGGTGGCAGAGGTGTCGCGCTGAGTGGAAGTTGTAACACGAAGTAGAATAACGGGACGCACAGACGCGATTCAACTGCTTATAGGGGGTGGCTGGAATAACGTCGCCAGGACTAACCTCGTCAAGCTGGAATAATGTCCTGGAGATTTTATTTCGTCAGGAATATCATCGTCAGGAATATCATCGTCAGGAATAACCTGAATAACCTCGTATTTTCGAATTTTTTTTTTTGGTGCTGAAATGGAATAAAATCGTGAACATATTCCTTTTCCTAAAATTGGAACAACCTCGTCTGGCAAAAACTGGACTTTCTTCGTAATGATAAAATGNCATGTGTAGTATGCGTGGATTTTTGTGATGGAATACTGTAGTGATTTGAAATTTGGAAGAGGGATGAGTGGTGTATGCCCTCTCTGTATCCTTAAGCTGACCTTTCCTCACTTGTGCAAAAGTGTCTTCGTTAACTTTTGGGGTGTGGAAGTTGTGGAACGATTCGAGGGAATTTTTTTATTAGTAGACGAGAACGTGGCATACCATTGTCTTCTGTGTGGGCGACCACATGATAAGAGCGATTCGGTGCCGTACTCCTGCATGATGCTTCGCAAATATTTTCCATTCACGGAAAACGAATAAAAAAAGAATATGTCCTATCAACACTTCGAAAGGCTGCAAGAAGATATGCTTTCAAATATTTTGCATAGTGCAAGTGCATGCAAGGAAAATCTAGCGCCTGATTTGGAAAGAAAAAATTTCCCATGGTTAGCGGTTTACAGTGTATATGTTGATGCATACACATTTTTGGAAACACGTAGGGATCCCCGCAATGGAGCCACTAATGGCGCTAGAATAAATAATCACGTGTACTGTAGTAAAATTGCACCTTTCTTGGCTGGAGCGGAATAAACCAAAAAATGCTGTATTCTTGAAAATCGAAAAAGGGTTTGAAAACAGAACGCTGTACGAAAATACTGCAAAAATTGGCGCAGTGTTCTAGAAAAATTCGAATATAATATATTTTTATCTTGGCTAAAGTGGCGTATTTGCCTAGTGCGTTATTCCATATTATTTTCGGAAAGGAAATTTTTCTCTGCTGCAACCGGGTTGTTTCCATAAAAAAAAAATTTTTTCAGCCGAAAATACCACGGCAAACAATTTTTTGGTGAAAAGTGCAATGGTTTTTTCAGACATGTTGTCGACCGGATAACGCATGCGCTGTGCATCTAATTAAGTATTCCTCAAGAAGTTCCGGAAACTAAAATCAATGAGTAACTCGTATGTAAAACTTATCATTTTGTACTTTGGCAGGGCTTCCACGTGCTCAGTGAAGATGTATAAGGGCATTGTGTAAATCGTTAACTGCAGTATAGTGTTTGTGTGATAGCGCGCTCATTTTTATTCTGTTCATTGTGCAAAAGGAGAATGTTTTCAAAGCACTCATTGTGCACAAGTAAAGATGGTTTATTCGAATTTATAAGACAATTGAATTAGGCACGTGGTTGATCGGAGTCAGGCCTGGTCGCAGAGGGAGAAATGATGGATGGGAATACAATGGGTTAAGGTGCTGAACATAATCGCTAGTGTTGTACACGCCGTATGATTTTACGAGGATTATTAGTGACCTTTGTATGAAAAAAGTTACTCAACACGGGTCAAGTCATTGCAAAACAATCAAGGTGTCTTTGCAAACCTCAAAGCCTATCTGATTGCTTACACGTGCTCTGTTCATGGAACCTTAGAGGCTGTGTTTACATCGTGGATATACAAAATAAATTGATGACTTTGTGCGAGAACCGTCTACATGAAGGAAAAAACGAATGCTCTTCGCGAGAGAAATACCGCGAAAATAAAATCTGAATTCTTTTGTTGTTGTTGCAGCTTATAGTGATGATTTCTGTAAAATGAGACGTGACCTTGAAAAATCGGTACTGGCTTTCCACAAGTTTTATAACCACGCGAAATGACGATAGTGGGATACCTGACGCGACCTTATTGGTTTAACTTCCACTCAGCACCGCTCCACTCAAGGGCTACCTCTTCCACGCCACCCCTGGGGGCGCCAATCTCTCCTAGAGCCATCAGCAATAGCTTTCCTTGGATGATTGACTTCAACTGCAATGATTTGGGGATTTAAAATCTAGTAAGACGCCCAGGGACATATAACTAAAGTGCCCATACAGTTGAATCTTGCTAAGTCGACCTCCCCACGTCAAATACCTCCCCAAGTTGAAATTTTTTCAAGTCCCTGTCTGGATTCCTGTAAAAGCAATATCTTAAAAACCTCCTCAACTTAGTCTTTTTCTCTCAAACCTCCTTAAGTTGAATTTTCTGCTGCCTTTTGGCTATTATTTCTGGATACATGAAAGAGAAAAGCAAAAAAATTAACTTGATGCATTTTGAAAGGAGGTATTTGTGAATATTCAATGAACATGCCACAAATCCTGTGAACACAATTTTAGAGCACTCTTCTAAGTTCTGAATATCCAATAAGATTTCTAGTGAAAAAAAATTAACTTGATGCATTTTGAAAGGAGGTATTTGTGAATATTCAATGAACATGCCACAAATCATGTGAACACAATTTTAGAGCACTCTTCTAAGTTCTGAATATCCAATAAGATTTCTAGTGATAACATTACATCATGATTTTACACTGCCAAATCATTGCAGTTGAAGTCGCTCAATGATGGCTCTGGAAGAGATTGGCGCTCCCAGGAGTGTGGTGGCAGAGGTGTCGCGCTGAGTGGAAGTTGTAACACGAAGTAGAATAACGGGACGCACAGACGCGATTCAACTGCTTATAGGTACACGTTCGACGGACGGCTGGTTTACTGATTGTCTTTCCTTGAATCGCGAATCTGTGGTCTCCGTCAACTGGCCCATTATTTAGTGAGCGTTATAATTCGGAACGCGCGAGTAGCTGTGTTGTGCTTTCGACTCCCGCTTACTCCTGCTGTTTGCGTGATTTGTTGATGAGGCTTGAGGAATGACAGTTGCCAATTTGATTCGACTGTGAGCATGCGTAGTGCACCATCTTTCCAGTGTGATTTATTTCTTCAACTGAAGATTTCGCGTATAATTGGTCACTATTGTATGGGAATGCGTGATCTTGAAAGCCCAGTAGTTGACGGGGTTTAATGTTTGTTGAAAATTTTTATGGTTTAATGTTCTAGCAGACTTAAATACTGTACATGTTTCATTTTTTGTGCACGGTATTTTGCTGTTAACCTGCATACGTTTTGGATTGCTGTGGAATGGGCTAGTGCCGGGAGCCGCAAGGCACGCTGTACCCAAGAGTTGCCAGGAGTGTAATCCTGGTGTTGGGTGCAAATGCCAGGATGAGTTGCCATGCTTGCCGAGAACGGATTGCTGTCTGGGCACCCGACAAGAGCGGCAACGCTCTGTAAGTGTGATACAATTTCGCGTAAGGTGTATCCAGAATAGGATCAGGTGTTCTTTCTGCTTTATTTTTTTCTCTTGTCAACTGTGGCAAGATTTATCTCCCTGGTATATCCTGTGAAACCTGTGGGATTGGTTTTTCTGTGTTGTCCCTATTGTTCTGGTATCTACGATGGGACGTTGGATACCAAGTGTGTTGGTGATCGGAGGGAACGCGCGTAGTGATGGCCAGAGACTTGTGATTTGGTGAAGCTTTCTTTTTATGGCCGTGGTGAATCTTCAGGAATCTCTTGATAGAGACTGCCGTGCATTAAAATTTTTGTGCTGCCGGAAGAAATGTGGTGATTGCAAGCAACCGATTTGGTTACTGGATTCTGTCGACCAATTCATTAATTAATCAGAAGGTTCGCATTATTCGTGATAGGAAAAGTTAGCAATGTTTTTGAAAAACCCCGGTTTGTCTAAATTCCATCGGTTTGATCATCAGAGGAAACCGCAAACGTCGTTCCATCAACTTTATCATGCCAATTTTCTGTAATATTTTCTGTGTGAATGAAAATTTCCTCATTGGAAATTTGTTTCAGAACTTATTTTTCATTCCGTTTTGGGTTGAGTACAGTACTCTGATTCGGAAATTTGCGAACCGGATGGAGGTTATTGTGAGGCACTGACGCCATGTTCTACCGCCCCCCTGTCATTTTCTTCCCAGTCTCAAATCAGCTATTGATGAGTATTTTTCACTGGATGATGGAAAGAAAGGTGCGTTACATTATGACGTCTGGAAGAAATTTCTTGTTGACTAAAACTTTGTTTTTCCTGAAATGTGTGATCAGTGTGATGTTTATTTCGCAGCTTGTGTGACTCGTACCGCGATGAAACCATGTTCGTGCCGGGAAATTTTTTTCTTTTGGTGTTCACTTCTGAAAGTACTGCACAGTACTCATCCTCATTGTTTTCGGGGATTGATGCGTCAATTGTGGCAGTGGATCGCAACTTTTCTGGTGGAAATCTGGGTGTGAAAGTTTTGATGCAGCGCTTGGTCTAGGATTCGTTTTCCAAGGTTCGGGAGTTGATCGCGAGAATACCGTTGCGTGCTTAGGACCGTGAATCATGTCTTCAATTGTTCCTTCGTGTATGAGTATGTATTTTATATATTATTTTTTCTTCACACAGGTGAAGGTGTGAAAAGACTTGGAAGGTCTATTAGATGCGCTATAGGGACGTGTAGTGCGAGTGTGTGTTGGTGGAGTGCAGTTGTGCGTGTCGCGGAGTGACGTGTTCCTGGCGAGCATGCCCGCGGCGGACAGTGGTACCGCTCGGCTTTTGCAGAACCAGCACGTCGTGAACGGCCACGACGACTTCCGACGCCATTACGGGACCAATGGGAGATTAACTGACTTCGTGAGTACATTGAATCCTTTCAATTCTTTCTTTTCTTTTTTTAAGTTTGGTCTCTCGTTCAAAGTTTGCGTGTTGATGCCTCAATTTGGTGCTGTGTTGGGGAATTGACCTGTGAGTGAATGATTTCACCGCTTCATGACTGAACTCGCCGAATTTTATGTTTGGGTTTCTCTTCAGCTGTGAAGCTTTAAAGACTAGTGATTTTCCCACGAGTCGCGTTAGCTCTCGACTTTCTCGACAATTGGCATGATTCGTGGCGTTCAATTCGCACATAAATTTTAAAAACATTAAATAATGAATGGTATCAGTGTGAACACCCTTAACTACAGTCTCAACTCTTAAATAGGCTTCTGGTTCTTTTGCTTGAAAGGATCCGAGACGAATTTCTGTCGATTCCGTTGTGCAGTATGTCTATTTTCATTTCTAAATTATTTTCAGAGTTCTGTGCGTTACTGATGAAATATTATGCCTCAAAACATACTTTCTTACTGGGAAAAATCTCTACAATGTCTGTTCTTGAATTATCCTCACTTATCTGGACCCTTGTCAAAACCTGAAACAGACTCTCGGTATTTTCTGTTTCTACCAAGGACGAGTGTTCTTGAATTGTTCATTCTGTATTTGACGTGCATTTTTCGTGCGAGAAAACTTTTGTTCATTTCACAAAATTGGTGGTGGTTTTAGGATAAAATGAATCTTGAATTCTTTAAAAAAAATTTTCGAGGCGATGCATTAAAAAAACTCAAGATCCACGGATATTGATCAGGAACTTCACGGATTATGAAAAGTGTTTCACGAAGAATTATTTTCGACTTCAGAGTAATAAACGTCGCGGGAAGAGCTTTAGCGCTGGTTTTTTTTTAATGTGCTGTAATGAAGTGTAATTGTTGTCGGGACGACCCAGTCGATTCCTTACCTGGACATGTCATGGTATTGCACTAGCATTATTTTTGTGATCAGCAGAGGCTGCGAATCCGGTATTGCATTGTGTAGTTGATGACGAGATAATTCCATTTTTATCTCCACGACAATACTCCAGTTCAGGCATCCGAGGTTGTTCCAGTTCTTAAAAAACGACATTTTTACTTTACCATTGTACGAGTTTCATCTGTTTTTTCCCAAACGATTATTTTTTTGACGACTTTCAAGATTTTTTAGCAGTACGATGTTAGGCCAGTTATGCAGAAAGGGAAGATTTTGTTCACGATATTATTCCTGTAGAGGCTGGACGACAATAAGCTAGTTTGGAAATTACGACGTAATTCCACCACCCCCTTATAGGTACACGTTCGACGCACGGCTGGTGTACTGATAGTCTTTCCTTGAATCGCGAATCTGAGGTCTCCGTCAACTTGCCCATTATTTGTTGAGCGTTATAATTCGGAACGCGCGAGTAGCTGTGTTGTGCTTTCGACTCCCGCTTACTCCTGCTGTTTGCGTGATTTGTTGATGAGGCTTGAGGAATGACACTTCCTAATTTGATTCGACTGTGAACATGCGTAGTGCACCATCTTCCCAGTGTGATTTATTTCTTTAGCTGAAGATTTCGTGTATAATAGGTCACTATTGTATAAGAATGCGTGATCTTGAAAGCCCAGTAGTTGACAGGGTTTAATGTTCTAGCAGACTTGAATACTGTGCTGTACATGTTTCATTTTTTGTGCACGGTATTTTGCTGTTAACCTGCATACGTTTTGGATTGCTGTGGAATGGGCTAGTGCCGTGAGCCGCAAGGCACGCTGTACCCAAGAGTTGCCAGGAGTGTAATCCTGGTGTTGGGTGCAAATGCCAGGATGAGTTGCCATGCTTGCCGAGAACGGATTGCTGTCTGGGCACCCGACAAGAGCGGCAACGCTCTGTAAGTGTGATGCAATTTCGCGTAAGGTGTATCCAGAATAGGATCAGGTGTTCTTTCTGCTTTATTTTTTTTTTCTCTTGTCAACTGTGGCAAGATTTATCTTCCTGGTAGATCCTGTGAAACCTGTGGGATTGGTTCTTCTGTGTTGTCCCTATTGTTCTGGTATCTACGATGGGAGACGTTGGATACCAAGTGTGTTGATCGGAGAGAACGCGCGTAGTGATGGCCAGAGGATGGACTTGTGATTCGGTGAAGCTTTCTTTTGATGGCCGTGGTGAATCTTCAGGAAACTCTTGATAGAGACTGCCGTGCATTAAAATTTTTGTGATGCCGGAAGAAATGTGGTGATTGCGAGGAACTGAATTGGTTACTGGATTCTGTCGACCAATTCATTAATTAATCAGAAGGTTCGCATTATTCGTGATGAGAAAAGTTAGCAATGTTTTTGAAAAACCCCGGTTTCTCTAAATTCCATCGATTTGATCATCAGATGAAACCGCAAACGTCGTTCTATCAATTATATCATGCCAATTTTCTGTAATATTTTCTGTGTGAATGAACATTTCCTCTATGTGATAGGAAATTTGTTTCAAAACTTATTTTTCATTCCGCTTTGGGCTGAGTACTGATTCGGTACTCTGATTCGGAAAATTGCGAACCGGATGGAGGTAATTCTGAGGCACTGACGCCATGATCAACCGTCCCCTGTCATTTTCTTCCCAGTCTCAAATCAGCTATTGATGAGTATTTCTCACTGGATGATGGAAACAAAGATGCGTTACATTGTGACGTCTGGAAGAAATTTCTGGTTAACTAGAACTTGGTTTTTCCTGAAATGTGTGATCAGTGTGATGTTGATTTAGCCGCTTGTGTGACTCGTACCACGATGAAACCATGTTCGCGCGGGGAAAATTTTTTTGTCTTGGTGTTCACTTCTGGAAGTACTGCACAGTACTCATCCTCATTGTTTTCGGGGATTGATGCGTCAATTGTGGCAGTGGATCGCAACGTTTCTGGTGGAAATCTGGGTGTGAAAGTTTTGATGCAGCGCTTGGTCTAGGATTCGTTTTCCAAGGTTCGGGAGTTGATCGCGAGAATTCCGTTGCGTGCTTAGGACCGTGAATCATGTCTTCAATTGTTCCTTCGTGTATGAGTATGTATTTTATATATTATTTTTTCTTCACACAGGTGAAGGTGTGAAAAGACTTGGAAGGTCTATTAGATGCGCTATAGGGACGTGTAGTGCGAGTGTGTGTTGGTGGAGTGCAGTTGTGCGTGTCGCGGAGTGACGTGTTCCTGGCGAGCATGCCCGCGGCGGACAGTGGTACCGCTCGGCTTTTGCAGAACCAGCACGTCGTGAACGGCCACGACGACTTCCGACGCCATTACGGGACCAATGGGAGATTAACTGACTTCGTGAGTACATTGAATCCTTTCAATTCTTTCTTTTCTTTTAAGTTTGGTCTCTCGTTCAAAGTTTGCGTGTTGATGCCTCAATTTGGTGCTGTGTTGGGGAATTGACCTACTCTGAGTGAATGATTTCACCGCTTCATGACTGAACTCGCCGAATTTTATGTTTGGGTTTCTCTTCAGTTGTGAAGCTTTAAAGACTAGGGATTTTCCCACGAGTCGCGTTAGCTCTCGACTTTCTCGACAATTGGCATGATTCGTGGCGTTCAATTCGCACATGAATTTTAAAAACATTAAATAATGAATGGTATCAGTGTGAACACCCTTAACTACAGTCTCAACTCTTAAATAGGCTTCTGGTTCTTTTGCTTGAAAGAATCCGAGACGAATTTCTGTCGATTCCGTTGTGCAGTATGTCTATTTTCATTTCAAAATTATTTTCAGAGTTCTATGCGTTACTGATGAAATATTATGCCTCAAAACATACTTTCTTACTGGGAAAAATCTCTACAATGTCTGTTCGTGAATTATCCTCATTTATCTGGACCCATGTCAAAAACTGAAACAGCCTCTCGGTATTTTCTGTTTCTACCAAGGACGAGTGTTCTTGAATTGTTCATTCTGTATTTGACGTGCATTTTTCGTGCGAGAAAGCTTTTGTTCATTTCACAAAATTGGTGGTGGTTTTAGGATAAAATGAATCTTGAATTATAAATTTTTTTTTCGAGACGATGCATTAAAAAAACTCGAAGATCCACTGATATTGATCAGGAACTTTAGATTATGAAGTGTTTCACGAAGAATTATTTTCGACTTAAGAGTAATAAACGTCGTGGGAAGAGCTTCAGCGCTGGTTTTTTTTTGAATGTGGTGTAATGAAGTGTAATTGTTGTCGGGACGACCCAGTCGATTCCTTACCTGGACATGTCATGGTATTGCACTAGCATTATTTTTGTGATCAGCAGAGGCTGCGAATCCGGTATTGCATTGTGTAGTTGAACTAGCTTTTCAAATGGAGTCCTTTGACATACTGTACAGTACGTGTAAAAGCTCATTTTCTGCTCTCCGCTGTGATGAAAATTTACGAAGGCTGTCATCCCGAAAACTAATCGGAGAAGTCGTGCTTATATTGAATGGAGATGGCTGACCAAATTGCTGACTCGGAATGTCTCTCGAGCCACACGCCGTCTTGACGCACAGAAAGAGCCATTGTCTGGTTAATTGTCTGTGGACGCCCAAAAGTCCCCGATGCGTTCTCACGATGAACGTCGTGAATTGTTGGGCTGTCAAGTCGAGGCTGGTTATTTCTCTCATCAGATTACTTCTTCTGTTCTTCAAATGCCGGATAATTGCTTTCTGCGTATTA